TTTGATGTTGACGAGGGGTGTGGTGGATGCATGTATCGATGTGAACTACTCTGACCTCCTCCTCTGGCCCCACCATCGCGGCCTCGCTGTCCCGCTCACCGCCTGCATGAGTCCCTTTCGTTTGTGATAGCAGTTCCGGCGGCGAAGCCGGTGCTGTCAGCCGCTGGGCGTTGTCGTTTTGATGTTGCTGAGGGGTATTGTGGATGCATGTGTCAATGTGAAACACCCTGAACACCTCCTCTGACCCCTCCATTGTCACCTCAATATCTCTCCCACCGCCTGCATTAGTCCCTTCCGTTTGTGACACCCGTTTCTCTGGCAAGGATTGTTGCACCAAGATCCTATCTTGTAAGATTTGTGTCCCTGCCGCAGGGGGGTCAGGCGGGGAGGATAACATCCCTCCCAGCGGCTGTGGCAGTGGGAGTGCAGCCGGCTGTGTCCCTTCCGCAGAGGGGGTCAGGCGGGGAGGTTAGCATCCCTCCCAGCGGCTGTGGCAGTGGGAACACAGTCGGCTGCATGGCTGCTATGAGCAGGTGTTGCCCGTCGTCACTCACCACCACCCGAGTTTCTTCGGATTGCCCCACCAAAGGGCAGTGTGACTGTTGCTGAGTGATCACCCCCTGAGTCATTTGGTTTGTAAGTTCCAGGGACATTGGCCGGGCCTGCTTTTTATGGTGGATCCGTGTGGTCAGTTCGACCACCGCCACACCTCTCACACTCTCTGCGTTCTGATGCCCCAGCGAGGGAGGGGGTCCATTGGCTTGCATCACCCTCATCCCACCTGCGGGCCCTTTTTCTGCCCGTCGTCGAGGTCATGGGGTGGATGCGCTGTCAACTTTCCTTTGGTGAGGGCAATAGGAGAATTCGTTGGATCTGCTTTAGTCTTGGGTTTGTAAGCTTGTTGCGTGTGTGTCGGGACAGGGGCGTTGGGGGGGGGGAACGCTTGGTACCGACGCAGTGGTTGTGCTCAGTTGTTTGGTGTTGCGAGCTTTCGTCCTCCGCTTCCTGTCTTCCTCGCCTTTTGGCATTTCAGCACTTTCATGTGTCTGCCTGCCGACTCCCTGTCGCCCTGTCGGTTCCAGAGTCAGTTCCCTTTTCCCTTTTTGTTTGGGATCATTCTGTATTATGAGGTCGACTCCGAACAGGAAGGCTCTAGGTTGGCCTTTCTCCTGCCATGGCCATTTCCCTGGGCGCCCGTCTGCATAAGCTCTGAAGATCCAACGTTCGAGAAACTTTTCCTCGGGGTACCATCTCTCCTCATCTGTCGGGTGGTGGACCACCAGTCCTCTGATCTTGGACTTGTGTTTTTTTGGACATGCGTCGTCGGTGCACAGGTGGCCACGGTCCTTGCATGCATAGCACCACGGATCCTGCGTGTGACTTACGGGAATTGCGAATTCTCTACCTGAGTAGGAATATCTCCACTCTTCATTGAGGGGGAAAGGGTATGAGGGATCCCAATCCACAGCCACTAAGAGGGAGTCATCTCACTTACCCAGAAACCGAGGTAGGTCTTTTACGTAACCCTTAAAATGTGCTATATTCTCCAGGTCCGTGAAAATTGCTCCCTGTACGCAGAGAGGTGCGAATCTGAACTCCACCCAAAAGTTGGAGTTCATGAGGTACTGTTACATGCCCAGTTGGGCGATGTACATATAAACCAAGGATCCGCAATGTGATGAAACGGACTGAATGGACGATGCAGTGCAATTGAAATCTCAACCAGCAGTGTACATTCTGATACATACAAAATGGTGCTTTACAGCGCAGTGGAAGACTTAGATACAAGTCCTGACCTGACCGGGACTGACCTCTCTCACGTAGTACAAGATAGCGCAGCAGAATACTAGAATACTAATGATTATCCCAATCAATGTTACAACGCAGACCAAACATACATCATTCTCACCACACGGTGTGAAGGTAGCCTGGCGCTTTACACAGGAAGAGGCGCCAGGTCCATTTCATGCACAGACGAAGAGGAGAGGATCAGACGGAGAAGAGGAGGGGAGAGATGGGAAAGTCGTCAACACCAAGTCTCGTTACAAGTCCCAAATAATCCCTCGTCAAAATGTCTGAAGTCCAATGTCGAGTCTGGATCCAAATGTCACCAAGCTCGCTCGCTCACTCTCATAGTCTGCTGATGCAGTGAAGTCAGATATCGAGAGGATGAGAGGCAGATGGTGGACTGAGAAGAGGAAGAAGAGGAACCCTCTCTCTCTCTCATATGCCAGGTACTAACCTGTGAAGGTGGCGCTGTGCTGCAGGTACCTTGAAGACGAAGCTGGAGCGATGACGCTGCAGGTAAGTCCCTCTGGCCTACTACTCTAGCTATGGCGCCCAGCGCTGAAGAGTACAGCTAACGCTACTAGCGCCCAGCGCTGAAGACTGCTGCTAACGCTACTACTACTCCTGCAGCGCTCCTCCAGAGTGCTGCTGCCGAATCCTGAAGACTACCTCCTGCCTCCTGAACTGCATGTGAAGTGCCTGGGAAGTACCTAGGAACTACCTGCAGCCTGCAGGGCGGGCCAGTCCTTCATAGTGCTGGCCCGTCCAGGAGGCTGCTCTTGCCAATGCCAAAACGTGCCAGACCCTGGGGTTGAAGCTCAAACGAAGGTTGTCTTGAAAATAGGCCAAGAATGGCCTGAGCTAAAACCCTGGTTTGGTGCCTGAGTTTCAGGGCAGGCCGAACTCATGAGGGCCTGAAAATGGCCCTCAGTTTCAGGCTGAAAAGACTCAGGGCCGGAAAGGCCCTGATTTAGGCTGAAACGACACAGGACCTGTAGGCCCTTGTTTTCAGGCTTTCAGGCTGAAACGACACGGGGCCTGTAGGCCCTTGTTTTCAGGCTTTCGGCCTGAAAACGTCACTGGCCTGAAAGTGGCCCGTGCAGCCTGTTGCAGGCGCAGCATGTAACAGGTACTCTCTTCTCCCATCGCTGGAATGTGGAACATCATTCCAATGTTAACACATGTAGCGAAGGACAGAACAGAGCATGGGAGCGGCGGACAAGTCATCCGGACAGATGGGACACCGGACACTGGATTTCCCGGTTTGATCCGACAAGCCCAGATTCCCAGTAATTTCCGGATAATCCGGACATGTCCGGATTCCTGTCCGGATGGTCCTGTATGTCCGGATAAAAAAAAATTGAAAAAATTAAGAAAAAATAAAAACGGAAAACGAAAAAAAGAAAGAAAAAATCCTGAAGACGAAAAAAACAAACAAAATGGAAAACGAAAAACAGAAAAAGAAAGAGCGAAAGAACAAACAAAAGAACCTGCATAGATGTGCTGATAGAAGAAGAAGGGCCCGGGGTATGGGTGTTCCATTCAGCCCTTCATGGGTGTCCCGACTGAAGTGGGCCAGTTGGTATGTGTGTTCCATTGACCCAGGGTTGAATTGCTGTTGGCTTTTCACCACCGGCCACCAGAAAAGACAAAGTAAAACAATTCTGCCCACCAAGCGGTAACCGGAGAGAAAACCGGGGGAGGTCCCCAGATTTTTTGCAGGCACCCATTCAGACAGACGCTATCTCTCTGTCACAGAGGAATCTTTGTTTTGCATTTTTCTTTGAAGTGGTTCTCTGTTTTTTGCAGGAATGTACGGAGTGTAGAATCCTGGAAAGACACGGGCGCATTGGGAAGGACTGAGTAACTTCCTTGTGCGAAAAAAGATCTTTGTTTAATTCAAAGCCACGAGGGGAGGGCGCTATTACATTCATGGCCTCCTTCTGGCACTGTCTGGATGCTAGACAGGGCCCATGAAAAATCAGCCAATATTTTTCCACCGCAGCCCAGGAGGGAAGAAAACGACCTGGGGTGACGAAAAAAAAATTGGGCCACCCCCAATTTTCCAACCATCCGGACAGGGATCCGGACACCTGATCCGGACACTGGACAGTCCGGATCCCTCGCTGCTATGGAACAGAAAGAGATTAATTTTAATTAATAATTTTAACTTGCAAGAAATAAAGTACCTCTAGTACATGAGTTCGAACTCGATAAAAAAAAAAAAAAAAAAAAAAAACTTCAGTGAGAT